AAACCCCGGAGTTCGGAGTAGTAGGTCACGAGGTATACAGCACGTTATGCATACGTGACACATACATACATACACACACATAAATCTTTTTTTTCCTAAAGGGGAGGAAGTAACTAGGGATAATAGTAAAGTAAGAAAATATGCAGGGTCCCTCTTATTATTAGCCCGCCCGCACCGTTGCAGCCGCCGTTGTCGCTGTAACTCAAACTCTCTTTTTTGGTTTGGACAAGGCACGACAGGTTGTGCGACGGGTTGCACGTGGGACCCCATGTGGTCTTGGGAGTGTGTGTGTGTGTCACATGTGTCTCGGAGTTGATGTCTTTTTGGTTGTTTGTTGAGTACCACATTTCTTCTCTCTCTCTTTCTCTCTCTCTCTCTCTAAAACTTTACTCCTTGGATTATAGTGTGGGTATCATAGGTGTGCTGGACTTGGAGATAATATATAGTCCGGGCGGCTCATTTGGTAACACATACCCGTGTCTGCTATCCGAATCCGCCCTTATCGAATGCAAGTACATCCAAACTATGGTTAGATGATGATGCCTTGTCGTTACATGTGCATCACAATCATTGAGGAACTGGCATGATGTTTGTGTGTAGCTTGGTAAAGTGCCCGACTCGTCTGCGGCTGAGGTATTGCTCAGAGCAGACGCTCGGGCTTGTATTTGATTCTCCTAATCTAGTAGTCCTTGGACTTTCCTCCACATGCGGCGTGCCGCAAAAAAGGCCAACGTGCGCGTTGATAACGCACTGGTGCCCCTAAATGTTGAAGCTTTTGTATCTAACAGCCTGCCCTAGGCTGTCTCTATATGAAAAGGAAATGTGCATCTAACTTTTTGGAAAGAACTAACGGGCTGGTATCATGGGTGAAAAAATTTGCCCTGGACGCCGTGAAACACTTGTTGAAAAGGCTCTTTACCCGCCTCCCAAAGATATGCAAATCTTTCTCATGTGATGTCGTCGTCGTCATCATAAATCTTAAGTCTTGTAGGATGAAGTTGATTCAATCCCACTCTATGCGTCGAGCATTACGAAATTAAAACTTGAGCTCCTTGGGCTTCTCCCAAGTAAAGCTCTGGTTGGTGAAGTGACCGTTCTTAGCGGTCTGGAAGTAGATGGGGTCAATGAGGTTCAACTCCTTGACAATGACACCGGGGCGAAGGTCGAAGTTCTTGTGGATAATCTCCACAAGCTCGTCCGAGGACTTCTCCGAGGTGCCGTAGGTCTCAACGAACAAGGAAAGAGGCTCGGAGACACCGATAGCGTATGACAGCTGGACGAGCGCACGGCGGGCCAGCTTGGCATTGACAAGCGACTTGGCGATCCAGCGCGCAAGGTAGGCAGCAGAGCGGTCGACCTTGGAGTAGTCCTTTCCGGAGAAAGCACCACCACCGTGGGCTCCCCAACCACCGTAGGTGTCGACAATGATCTTACGTCCGGTAAGACCAGCATCACCCTGGGGACCACCAATGATGAAGAGACCAGAGGGTTGGATCTAGGGCAGGTTAGTACGGGTGTATATGAAGGAAGGCTAAGGGAGGACGTACGTGGTAGACGGTCTTGTCATCAAGCATGTTGGCGGGGATGACCTTCTTGATGATCTTCTCCTTGATCTCCTCACGGAGCTTCTCGGTGGTGATGTCCTCGCTGTGCTGGGCAGAGACGACAACAGTGTCGACACGGAGGGGAATGACGGCACCGCCATCGTGAGCGTACTCAATGGTGACCTGGGTCTTGGTGTCGGGTCGGAGCCATGGCAGGGAGCCGTCCTTGCGGGCGGAGGTCATGGCAGCATTGAGCTTGTGGGAGAGGAGGACGGTCAGAGGAAGGAGCTCGGGGGTCTCGTCGGTGGCATAGCCGAACATGATACCCTGGTCACCGGCACCGAGCTTCTCAAGAGCCTCCTCGTAGTGGAGACCCTGAGCAATGTCGGGCGACTGCTGCTCAATAGCAACGAGAACGTTGCAGGTCTTGTAGTCGAAGCCCTTCTCCGAAGAGTCGTAGCCGATGTCCTTGATGGCATTGCGGATAATCTTCTGGTAGTCGAGGTGTGCCTTTGTGGTGATCTCACCAAAGACCATGATCATACCGGTCTTGGCGGCGGTCTCGCAGGCGACCTTGGAGAGAGGGTCCTCCTTGAGGCAGGCATCGAGGATGGCATCGGAGACTTGATCGCTGTAGTCGGTGTCAGCAGTGGTTGGCCTGAGGGAACTAACTGGCGGAGTATAGTTTTAGGCTTTCATATGCCGCAAATACACCGACCGACCGAATCGGAGTTTGAAAAACAAAAAAGACACGTAGACGTACCAGATCTTGTCGGGGTGGCCCTCACCGACGGACTCGGAAGTGAAGAGGAAGGTGTTACCCTGTGGGAAAAAGTTAGGATCATGGCGGGGTGGCTCGGGGACTTTTTTTCTCGAGCGTACCTTTGCGGAGCCGTTGGGGACAGTCATTGTGATGGATGTGGAGAGGTGGGGGGAGAACGAGGGAGAACTAGTGTAGGACTTGCGACCGCGTGTAAATTGACGGAAGAAGAAGAGAGAAAGGTGGGTGAGTGAAGGAGAAGAGAAGGAGGGGGGAGTCGAGGGGCAGGAGTGGATTTAAGCAGCAGCAGAATGGGCCGTCCTGTCCCAAATTGCCGAAAAAAACGTGCAGGGCCATGTTAAAGCGCGCAGACCAAGGCCGAACTGCGACTGCCGCACTAACACTAAGGCCAGCATTAGGAGCACGCCATTGTCCCCCTCGCCTTCCTTCAGACAGCGACTGCCGCCCTAGCCACGCCCGCCCAATCACATAAACTCCACACTCCGCCCCCACCGCCCCAGCGGCAGAAAAGTATCCCGCCTCGACGTTTCGACCTGCCGCATGACGCGCGTTACCATCAACCCATCCCGACTGCGACAATGAGCAAGTATGGCACCCTGGTTATGGTAACGGCACCCCTTCCCCACGACCTGACCGCCCATTCGGAGACACTGACCGCTCAAAGGGCCCGGCCGGTGCGGGCAAGTCGACCTTCTGCACCGCTCTGATCCAGCACCTCCAAAACACCAAGCGCCCGTGCTTCTACGTCAACCTCGACCCGGCCGCCGAGGAGTTTGCCTTTGAGCCCGACCTCGACATCAAGGACCTCATCAGCCTCGAGGATGTCATGGACGAGATGAGCCTCGGCCCCAATGGCGGCCTCATCTACTGCTTCGAGTTCCTCATGGAAAACCTCGACTGGCTCACCGATCCCCTCGAGGAAGTCACCGACGACTACCTCATCGTCTTCGACATGCCCGGCCAGATCGAGCTCTACACGCACGTCCCTATCCTGCCGGGCCTGGTCAAACATCTCATGTCGGGCTCCCTCAACATGCGCATGTGTGCCACCTACCTCCTCGAAGCCACTTTCGTCGTCGACCGTCCCAAGTTCTTCTCTGGCACTCTATCTGCCATGAGCGCCATGATGATGCTCGAAATGCCCCATATCAATATACTGAGTAAGATGGATCTCGTCAAGGGCCAAGTCGCTAAGCGTGACCTGAAGCGCTTTATCGACGTAGACGCGGATCTGATTGACGACGACCCTGCGCGCAAAAAGGCGTCGCCAGAGGAAGAGAGTAAATACAGAGACCCGGCGTCGACGGAGAGCCTTATGAGCGGCTCGTCGTTCCATAGGCTTAACAAGGCGGTTGCAGAGCTCATTGATGGCTTCAGTATGGTCTCCTTCCTCAAACTTGACGTTCAGGACGAGGATAGCCTAGCCGCCGTATTAAGCTATATTGATGATGCTATACAATTCCACGAGTCGCAGGAACCAAAAGAGCCGAGGGACATGGAGCCTGAGGCAGACATGTAGTCTCCATTTGGCGGATAGACACATTTTTGCATTGGCGGCGTTTTTTGGTTTTGGAAAAAAAATATCTTGGTGGGCATTAGAGGCATGGCTCCGAATGGCCAATATCCTGAGGGGACTGATAATGCCGTTTATGAGATAAGACTTAACTACGATACCCAATATATATCCATGTACTTCCGTACACGGTTCAGTTATAAGGATTGCATTTCCAGCCTCTGGTCTGTGGTGTGCAGATAGTCACAGGCGTCAAGAACAAGCGGCCAGTTGTAAGGCGAAGAAGAACAGATATTGATACAACAGTCATGCACATTAACCACAGTTTCTTCTTTTCGTACACTTCGACTCGCTCAGTAATGCCAGTAAAAAATCCCAAAAAACGAACAAGCGAAAACTACAAACATGCTTCGCTCCCACAACACCTCCAAGCAAAGAAAAATAAAAAAAAAGCGATTGGCTTTTTACCGTCCAACCCATCCATTTTCTTCCGGAGTAAACACAACACAAACCCCGAACCCACCCCCCACCCACGACAATCCCCGGACAATCCCGGACAATCCCCGGCCTAACCCTTCATCCCACCCTTGAGACTTCCGTGGTCACCACCCCTACCAAGTCGGAACCCAAAGCTAACAGCGACTGCGCAAAACAGACCAAGGCAAAGCAGCGTAGGACCCCATCGATCATGATAAGTCACTGCCCTCCTTTCTTTGATCTTGTTAACACGCCAAATGTACAGTCCAGCGCTGTAGCACAGGGCCAGGCAGGCAATGATGGTGAACGCCCATGCAGCAGCGAAAGCGAGTGAGTCACCAAAGTTGAGGAGCGTGGCGGCAATGGAACCAATGAGGATGGAGAATTCCAGCCAGGAGAGAAAGGTACGCTCAGTGGCTAGCTGTACCTTGGGCTCAACACGGACAGGGACGTGAATACCTGATTAATGTTAGTGTTGTGTTCTTCAACGAAATAATAATTTGCTGCAAAAACTTACGCTTGCCCTTTGGAGCCTTGAAGCGCTTCACCTCTCCGCGCTGCTTCCAGCTGGGTACACCGAGTGTGAAGCCTCCATCGCCAACATCAGTAGGTGTTGGCTTTGGGATAATGGCGACAACCGTGTTGAGAACTGCATTGCCTACGTTCGAGGCGGTGCGCTCAACCCACTTTCGGGCATAACGGAGACCTCCCTCTCTCCTGGCAGCTTCAAAGTCGTCGTCTTCATCATCGCTGTCCGAATCGTAGATAGGGTAATCATTGTCTGTTGTGCGTCTAGCGGCAACTCGCTCTTCGATATCAAGCACGTTGGGATCGTTGGCGTTGGTTAGAGTGCCATAATCACGGGCTCTTGCCATCTCATTCTGTTCCATGGTGTCTCTAACTTCGCGCAGCCTCCTCAATCGATCATCATCCTGGTTGCCATTGGAAGAGGGGAGGCCAGCGGCAAGATCCTCGTCCTCACTGTCATCATCATCCAGGTTGCCGCTAGTGCTGATGTCGTTGCTCGCACCCGGTCGTTCAATACCAAAGTTGTGACTGACAGGCTTGCGGATATCGACATCCATCTGGGGGTACCAGTATGGAAGCAAGTGGATGCGCTTAGGGTTGAGCGTGGCTGTGCCGTGAATGTACTTGGAGAACTTGGGTACAGCCTCGACCAGATGCGACGAAGTAAGGTCCCTAATCCATTGCGGTGGCTCACCTCCGGCCTGTGTCTGCAGTTTAACTTCGAGGACAGCATAGGGGAAGAGCTCCTTGTCTTCCTTGGGTAGCTGCTTGAAAGGCCAGTCGACACCAATGTCGGTACGGCGCCAGTTGTCACCAGAACGGACCTTTCCGTCCAGGTTGTCCTCACGGGTCATGGTAAGCTCAGTGTCAAGTGAGATACGAACACGAGCGTCTCCAGGAAGTTGAAAGGCAGTTCGGTGGTAGAAGGATCGTGTGACGGGCTCGAGCTTGCGGGTAAGCACACGGTACTGGATCTCTCGTGCCAGCTGCTCGTCGGAGGCAATGTCCTTCTCTGGTCGCTTTTGTTCCCGGCGTTCCTTTTCAAAAATCTGTTCTGGCCTAAGCTCACCACGAAGGTATGCGTTGACGTTCTTCTCTTTGAGCTTGAATCGTGCCTTGACAGACTCTTCTCCTGTCCAGTCTTCGCGATGCGTCTTGCGTTCAATGAAGATGGTGTCGCTTGACATGCCTCCATACCAACGTAGTCGGATAGCCTCCGCACCCTCGGTTTTCTTCAGACGACCTTCATACAGCTCCCATGTTTCTGTGTTGTCAAAGTAGATGGATGTAATAGCAGCGTCCTCCTCGTTGAACTCCTTGTTAGGGTTGAAGACGAGCACAGGCAGGTGCTTGAGGATGATGAGCTTCAGCTCGAGGATGTTGTCTGGGTGCACCCAGTACTTGGTGGTCTGTCGCACAAAGTTCTGCTGCTTTCCTCCTGCTGAAGAATCGCCCTTGACTGGGTTTCCGCGGGTACGAACAATGTCGTAGAGCTTCGATAGCTTGACGACGTACGAGTCGTAGTTGTCTTGGAAGAAAGGCTTGCGCTTGAGGCGGGCGGCGAAGACGGGCTTGAGGAACCAGCTGGTGTTTTTCTGAATTGAATTAGCACCAGACGATACAATCTGCATTCTGTACATACGTCATGTTTCTTGATGATCTTCTGGAAGCCCGTGTAGTTGAGTTGGGTAAACTTGGCGAGGTCGTGGACATCGGCGATGATGTCGCTCAGGTCTTCCTCGAGCAGGTCAAAGTCCTCCTCGTACTTGTCGGGGTTCGCAGGATCCTGCTGGGCGCGCGCGACTGCATCGTTGACCTCCTTCTCGGATGCTGCGATGCGACGAATGATTTCCTCGGCCTTGACGCGCTGGAACGTGTAGACCTTGTCAAGCTCCTTCTCAAGCTGCTCGACGAAGCTCTGCTCCGACTTTTCGTCCCAGACATGATGGACGCGCAGCGAGTTCTTCAGGCCTTCATAGTCGATGTAGTAGAAGACCCACTGCTTGTTGAGCGATTGCTTAAGTTGCTGGCCGAACCTGCAAACGCGCATTAGCTCCCGTTGACATCATTTACGCGATGCGACAGTTGGACAAAGCATGCGCGAGCATTGCCCAGGGTCAGGCGTGGTGGACAAACCTCATGTTGTGTGAGAAGCGGGCAATCAAAGAGCACCGCAAAGTTAGCCAGGAGAGGTGAAGGTGGTGTGTTGGAGTTGCAAAAGCGCAGTCGAAGCTTCAATGCATCAATGCAGGGCCCCATCAAAAGTTCCGACCCAAGAGTGACGCTCCCCGCGTACCAGTGCCTACCTGGTGGAGCTCCGGGCCCCTAGCGTCGTCTGATGGAGACAGAAACGGGTCTGCCGTGGCATCCAGCCATTGAGAAGGCCCGATGCTCCCACGTGAAATCAATACAACAGGCAGTCTGCTTCCTTCGTGTAAAAATGAGAAAAAAGCTTTCCGTCGTGCCCTCTCACAGACGTCATTTGCTTGCATATGCGGGTACATTCTGAAAGGGAAAGACTGCCAAGTTTGCTGGCGCTTGAGATAGCATCACCGGAACATCTCCATGTACCATATACTACATATACCGAGCACGAAAGCAACTGCCTTGAGCCTCTAGGTCATGCTTGCGTCTTGTTGACTGGTCTGTCACTCCGCTCGGCTCTTTTGCTGCGATCCCATGTTCTCAAACCATGTCCTAATTTGGGCACGCAAGGATCCACTGTCGAAACAATAGCTTTACTTGCTTTCTGACCATGTTGTGTCAGGCTTCGACGTAACGACAACCCTGTCTGGCTTGTTGTTGTTATTGCCGTCTCACATGAGCTTTGCTAACATAGTCATCACCTTGTTTTTGCAGACTTGGTAACAGTCATACGTAGGAGAAGAGCCGTGGCTCATAGGATTTTTATTCAGAGAGCTAATCATTTTAGCACCCTTCCAAAGAGAAACTAAAGAAACCAATGTATTCAACCATGTATCGCGAGGATACCATAAACTCCATCTAGCGCCGTGCTCCAAAGCCGTGCTCGGCGGGTATCGCAGATAAATCATAAGCGGACCAAACGTATAGTTGTAAAAGAGTGCGTGAGGTGGGTGGCACCCATACTCACTAGGCATCGCGATCATGCAGCGCCTCATTAGGAAACGTGCCAGCGGGACTAACATGCTGGCTGGCTTCTGGACTATTGTTTTTGCTTGCTTCGGGCGAAGGAGTATGTAACCGTGAGACAATGTATAGGTCGTCGTAGCTGCCTAGGATCATGTGCTTCCACCTTGCCAGCGTAGGTAGGCCTACGTTGGCGACGGAAGCCTTGAGTGTGGGTTTCTCTGCGTACTTTTCGCGCTCCGCAGGTGATAGTAGATCTTCGTTGAGGATGTCGAGTCGACTGTTGCCGCGAGGTATAGCCTTTCTTGTAACACGTAGAAATGGTAACGAGGGGTCTAGTTTTGCTAGCGTTAGAGTCACCGTGTTAGGCAGATGGATGTAGGCCAGGCAGCACTTACCATTATCAAGCTCGGCGCAGAGCTCGCCCTCTGTCTTAAACTCTAGGCCTTTTGCACCAGAGCGATACTTGTATACGAGGATAGATTTTTTGCCATTTTCATCCAGGTCGAACAGCGAGCTTGCTTTACTGGACTCTGAGCCCGATGTCGACACCGACTTGAACGTCATACTGCCTTCTAGCATTCGTGCGGTGACTGAAGGAGGAAGGCGAGGAGGACTAGGGAGAGAGTAGGGACCGAAGTGGGTGGAGCCTTGGTATGGGTGAGGATGTTTGGGTTTGCGAAGGACAACCAGGTGGAGTGTGCTTTGTATAGCCGTGGATAGCGGCGGGTCTGGTGAGTGGAAAGATGGATGTGGAGTGATGGTCTAGGTCGTGGCTGAACCAGAACCGTCGAGCCTTCCAGCAGCATCACGCCTGAGCCTTGTTGGGCGGCAGTGCTGCGCCTCCTTCTGTGGCTGACGGTGACATGCTGTGATGTCGATTGTGCGGCCGCTCGACGCGCTCATTGGCTGACAGCGCGGCTGTGCCGTGGACAGCGCTGATTGGATGCCACACAACCCCACCGACGCCCATGCTACCCAACTCAACTCAACTCAAGCCCACACAAACCCTTCTGCAAATTCACGCATACCGTCGCTGGCCAGGATGGAGAGATTACAAAACATTGTCGCGCATTTTCTACACCGACCTGTGCAGGATGACGCTTTCTTGCGGTGCGCATGACGGGCAGGCCAAGCAAAGGGGTGTTGAGCGAGTCACCTGGATGGCGTTCTGATATGGACGCGTGCCCCAAGCTCCCAAGGTTTGTTACATCGCTCTGGGGATCAACACTTTCGCATTGTGGAGACATGGCACGGATGAATCCGCTTTAGTTATCCTCGGATTCATGCGTATTTACATGTTCACTGCCCGCTCGTACACCTAGTGCTGGCAGCTGGTTCACAGCCTTGTTTGGCGTCGGGCTAAGTTTGCCTAATTGCCTTTTGGCCCCTGCATTTCAGCTCCGCTCCATGTTCGTATGTAGAGTAGGCAGCGATAATAAGGACAGAGAGCACAGTGACACTGCTCATTCTGTCGTCATAGAATCAAGTCCGACCCCTGGATGATTCAATATCGGCAGACGCGCTGACTGTTTTTTCCTCTCCCCACGTTACACGAGTACAGTAGCCCCCGGACATGTACGAGGGTCATAACTAACATCTGGAGAAACATTCCTCACGACTCCAAAGGCTTGGCTTCTTATTCGTCGCTTCGCCAGCGGCCCCGTTCACTAGCGGCAGAGCCAGCCACTGCCGCAGCCCACCCTTCCACCTGCACCCTGTCCGCGCCCTTCGCGGGAACGCGCGAGAATGTCATGAGGCTCCCTAAGGCCTTATATCCACTTCAATATCGGTCTTCCCCCTCGCACCACCTAAGCACTGTTACCCGCCCAAATAATCACGCAAGGCTAAAGATCTACCTGTGAAGCATTCAACGCTACACACCATCCACGCGCCCAGCACTAGGTATACTCGAACCACACTAGCTGAACCCACGCGCCGTCAACATGTTGCAACCGCCTCGAGAGCCGGCCTCGAGGCCGCTCAGCATAAGAACAACTGGCACCACTGCGACTCAGGGCGACAAGACTGGAGAAACCTGGAAGATGAACGTCACCGCCGAAAACTGCTGGGAGGACCTTATACTTACCCTGGGTACGTTGGATCCTTTTGTAGCCTTGTAACTCTCCTATCTACACATTATCTAGTTGGCGACTCCCGTACCTGTCCAACGCTCTGATCTTGTCTGAATGTCCGTTTGTATGGTCGGCAGCAGCTCTATAGTAGTGTAGTCAGCGGCTAGCGCCATCTATCCGTAGTCTGACATGCAGTTTCCAAAAGCTTGTGTTCTCCATGCTGACGTTTCTTTGCATAGATGGCGGGGGTATACGCGGCTATTCGAGCCTCCTTATCATACAACAGTTAATGCACGAGATCGCCGAATGTGAGCATCGAATACAAGAGGAAGAGGGCCCGGTGCCTGGCACCGAACGCCGCGAATTCAAAGAGGAAGAGCTACTCCCATGTCATTACTTCGACTACATGTATGGTACAAGCACTGGTGGACTCATATCTGTTATGCTTGCCAGGTTGCGCATGACCGTGCCACAATGCCTCGAAATCTATCGTAAGGTCGGTAATGAGCTTTTTGGGCATAGGAGGAATATTCTTCCCCTAGCTACAAAGTATGATCATAAACCACTTGAAAAGGCCGTACAAGATATCGTAAGGCAATATTGCAAGGAGCATGGCAAATGCACAGGAGACGACTGGTACCCTTGGCGTTCGGACGAGGATCAAGAACAAGCGCCTATGGAAGCATCAGGTGTCGGTTCTCTACGAAGTGCGACTACATGGGGCAGCGGTGCTCCAGCTACCAACTTCAGACCAGTGGAGCGCATATGTCAATCGTAAGTAAAACCTCCTTCCTTTCCTGTAGTTTCCTACCTTTGTGCTAACAGTTGCTAGTATCTGTCTAACGGCTATTCATTCTGGTCAAATCGATGAAGCCTATCTCCTTCGTTCTTATAACCACCAGTACGACCCAGAGATCGCTCCAGCATGGGTTACACCATATAATACTGGCGCCGACAAGATGAAAATCTGGCAGGTGACAAGAGCAACCTCAGCTGCACCATTTTACTTTGAAATGCTCACAGCCGAGTTTGCGAATGGTTTGAAGAAGAATTTTAAAGATGGTGGAATTCGCGAAAACAACCCTTCATATGCTGCCTATAGCGAACACGCCTCACTAAAGGGGGATGACAAGGAACCAGCACTTTTGCTCTCGATCGGAACCGGACGCCCAGACACATCCAATGACGGATTCGCCACCGCCTGGCCTGGACCATTGGGCAAAGTCAAGGCACTTCAAAAGTGGAGTGAGAAATTGGCAGTTTTCAAGAATCTCCTGATCAAGTACACCGAAGGTGAAGATCGACACAAGATGATGCGTACAATCGCCAAGGGAGAGCACCGATGGTACAAGCGTCTGAATGTCGACAAAGGACTTGAAGGGCTACCGCTCGATCACTGGGTGAAAGGAAAATGGACGAATCCTCAAACCAACGAAACGAAAGTAGTAAATGGAGGAAAAACCCTTACGATCATGGAGACGGTGACCAGGGCGTACCTTGAAAGAGTAACAATTGCAAGCCCCGGAAACCTAACCGAATACCAACCCCCCAAGGTCGTTCTCCAGCAAGTCGCAGAAAGGCTAGTGCGTCATCGGAGACTCAGAGAAGCCACGAAAGGAGAAGACCTCAAGAGATGGCAGACACATATGGGACAATGGCTGACAGGCGAGCTTAAACCCGAAGACGCGAAATTCGAGCGAGTTGCACCAAAGTCAAGGAAAGGCTCTCGAGCCTTTCTCTCTTCATCACGCCCAATGACGCCCACTGGAAAATGAAGAGAACATCGTCTTGGAAGCAAAAGATCTATGTACTGCCATCTTCATCGTCGCCCAGCCATCGCCTGGTGACTGCATTTTGCAACTGCAACACATTACACATTGTTGCACTTTCACCATCCGCAATAATGTCTGTAGTTGCCTGGCGCAGCCAGCCTTACCGAAGACACCTTGACCCTACTGCCGGCCTGGTGTTCCTCCTGCGTCGAGTCGAGCTCTGAACGCACTGCTCCTTGTCTTGCCACACTTCAGACTTCACTTTGCAATCAAGGAAAAGTTGTAATACTTATTCATCGAAGAAGCCATGTATGAAAAGTGGTATTGGTTCTGTCATTGATTCGTAAATGCAAGAGTGCGAGCCAAAGGCGATGCGACAAATGATATCAATAAAGCCATAACTCCAAATTCCGCTCCCACCCAACCAAAACCGTTGATGCTGATTACCGTTTCCCCCTCATCCACCGCATGATTGTCTGGATCCCCAATTACAAAAAGAGACCGGCAAAGCCAACAAGACCGGCAAAGGCCGCGGCCAAGGCGACGGTGGGCGTGTTGGCGGAGTTGCCAGCGGGCTGGGCGTTGCCTTGGATACCACCTTGAGTGCCTTGAGAACTAGTACCTTGAGTACCAGCACCAGTACCCGTGCCGACGTTGTTGGTGTTGCCTGGATTGTTTCCGTTAGGACTGTTGTTGACACCATTTGGGTTTCCATTCGGGTTACCATTCGGATTACCGTTGGGATCACCGTAGGGAATATCACTGGGGTTGGGGCTGGGAACACCACTGGGGCTGGGAACACCACTGGGGTAGGGGCGGGGAGGATTACCATTGGGATTGTTACCACCTTGGTTGTTGCTTGGTGGGTTTGTCGGGACGGGGCCTGAGCCGCCGGGACCTCCAGGCCTTGGGCCAGTTGGGGTAGGACCTGAGGGCGCGCCGCTAACTGGAGTGAAGCCACAGTCACGAACAAGATCTTGGGCGTCTACAAGGAGAGCATTAGTCACGTGTGAGGAGTACGAGGAAGAGGAAAGACATACCGTTGTCAAATTTGCCGCCGTTTCGCCAGATGCAGTCAGCGCAGTTGGGAATCTGGGTGTTTGCGTTTTGGGCATTGCAAATGCATTGGCGCTCAGCGAAGTCGTCGTCGTCTGAGATGTGTGTTAGTATGGCAGTTTACATGATCAAGGTGGCTCAAAAGATGAAGACTTACTTGGACCTCTGTCGTCACATCCGGTTGTTAGAGTGACGACGGGTGTGCAAATGTCGATACAATTGCGTGGGACATCCTCGAATTCCAGTTTGTCGGCGAGGCCAACGGCGGAGAGGGCAAAAGCAATGGCGATGATGTTGTAACGCATTATGGCTGATGTTGGGTATCTTTCAAATGGACAAAGTACTGAAGAAATATGAATATGTGTATACTTTAATGAAACCTCTTTAGTTGTCTGTCTGTGTGTTGTGCTGCTGTGTGGTGAGAACCTATTTCACCATGCCGGGATCCAGCTAGTTATATACGAAACGTCCAAAGACTGCTCGTGTGCTTAATTTCCCGTTTCAGAGCATGAGTTGATGCCGGGCCCCACGAGGTACACTATGCAGCATGCAGCCCATTCCGCCCAAAGGACACACCTACCACCACCCACCCACACCCACACACCCCAGGTACCAAGCCAACGCACTGACAAATGACGTGGATGACGACTAGCACAAATGCCAACGCAAGGCCCTTCCTGCTCGCTCTCTCTCTCTCTTTCTTTCTTCCCTCCCCCGCTCCTCATCGGCCCGTCGTCGGCAACGACCAAGATCAGCGGGTGGCTTTCACAGTCGTCGCAACTGGGGGCGGAGGCGGGCCAATCCAACGTAGCAGCCATCCCTTTCAAGATCCGCTGGGCGGAAAGTACGTTTGTGACCGCTTGGCGCGGCTCTACTATGGTTCAAAAAAGTTACAGAAAGTGTGTGAATAGAGTAAACCGCTGATCTTCCCGGTTCGTCTTACCCACAGCCTCACTGCGTAGACGTAAACACACTTTTTTGCACACTTTTTTCCAACCCACATGGTCTTGTGTTTGTTTTGTGAAGGGGAGGGGGTTGTTTTTTTTTCTCTTGCATGCAAAAGTTAACGTCCCATCCATCACTTGTTTGTTGTGCGGCTTTTGTCGATCCGCAGCTAATATCAAGATGGTGAGATGCTTGGGCGCAAGGTAAAGACATGACTATGTGTGTAACGACGGCGGCAAAAAGGGTGCAAGAGACAATCTTGGAAAAAAGCCAAGTAAAAAAAGCTCCACCCCCAGACTTTCCCTCTCTGCTTTCTGGTATTGATCCTTGGAAGGGGGGGCTTAGAAAAGTCCCCACCCGGAGGGACATTCGCCGCCAAGCCCTGGCATGGAGTCAGCCAAGCAAAAAGGCAAAACAAGACGGTGTGGAGTCCCCGTTGCTGTTCCTTTTTTTGGTGCCTTTCCTTTTCCACCTCCATTTTGGCCTGGGAGACCCTGGGGATTTTTTTTCGGGGGGATTGTTGCGCTGGCGTCCTCCCTCCCCCCGCCCTGGTTACTACAGTACGCCTACGCGCGTTCCTTTGCGGCAGTGCATGTATGACACCCTCATGTGACTTGTCTTTTGCCTCTTCGTCTATCCGTCCTCCGCTTTTGTAAAAAGCACGAATCTTGATTGGCAGGTTAATTGTAAGCTTTGGGAAGACCTTTGGTTGTTGTTGTTTTGCGCTCAACGGGCTTGTAGGGCTGAGATGAGATTGGAGATGGAGATGGAGTTTTCGGTACGGTGCGGAATAGGCAAGAATTTTTATCAAAGGGCTATGCAATTAAACTCCCGTCATGCGTCACGCACTTTTTTTTTACTTTACTTTAATGCTATTCTTTTCTCCTTCGCATACCGCATAATTCGGGTTCTTATTTCGCTGTACTTTCCCTTTCTTCCTACTACATATATTAATTCTTATCTATTAATATTAGTGCTTTTGCGGTTAAGAAAATAAGATGGGATTTTTTTTTCTATTTTACATAAAAGACTATTTACTTGACGAGAGTGAATACGGTAAATGACATCAATGCTCACACGCTACTTGGATGGTTTGGCCGACACCAACGGCCACGGCAATATCACAACTTTTATTTTTGCCAAGGCCCCGATTGCATAGCCCAATTCCTTGCGCCTCCCTTCCTCCTTCTCCCAAGCCCAGCCCAACCAAGAGCTAGTAATTAGTCTACACGTAGATTACCAAGACGGCCAGTAGCCCAGACCTGTCGCGGCAGGGTCACTGTACTCACTTCTACCGTGCTTACCTCACCAAAAATGCTTGAGTGGAAACTGAGTAGTAAGTACGCGTGGTTTTCTTCTTCGCCTTTCTTGGACCTTTTTAGTCAAGACGCGGAAAGCCTGGCTTTCTCTACCTCGCCGTCATCTTTTCTAGTCATGAGCAAATCATCAATCTTGTTTTTTTGTCTTGGTCTTGCTAAGAAAAAACTCTTGGGACTTGCGTAAGAAAGAAGGCCGTGTGTGGCTTAGTATCACGAGGTTCCCTAGGAGACAAGATGGAAGAAGCTTGGAAAGTTAGTGTTAGCGTAGTGTAGCATGTGCCGTGCTATGATTTACACTGCGCTGCCGTGTGGATCTAAGAAACAGCGGTCAGGTGTGGCCCGGGAATAAGACGTGCAAAGCCAAGACCGGAGATTTTTTTAGCAGTGGATTGCCGCAGGTTGGCGGTGCGGGACGGGAGCGAGTGGCTGCGGGTGAATGGTGAGGGATGGACTACGTCGTAAGCTGTCGCGTCAACGATATGCGTGGTGTGCCGGTCACGAAGCGTGGAAGCGTGGGTTTCTAAGAGGCTACGTAGTCTGCGTGATGCGGGTTGGGTGGGCTTGGAGTTGGGCTGCTTGGTGTCGGGCTTCTTACATAACTGTGCTGACGCACTGGAAGTCTGACGGACGAAACATGACTCTTGATTTCTGGTTTGCTCTTTTCTACATATATCATCCGTGATACATCTCAAGGAAGGAGGATGGCCTCTGTGCGTTGGTGGAAAATAGTTGGCCCTTCATCTTCCTGGTAACATCTGTTCCAAGTGCCGGAGTAGCCTAGTGTAGCCTCAAGACACAAGTATCCCTTGTAGTTTCCATAAAAAATCCTTCTTATCAGATCAGTCTTTAGCAATGAAATTTTTACGTCAAAATTCTTAGTATTGCGGCTCTTGGGTCATTTGTTCACCTCTGCCCTCCAATGGCAAGTGTGTATATTCAAATCACTTACTTCCCAAGGTACACCTATAAGAACCTTCTGGACAGAATACGTGTAAAAGATATCTGATGAATCACAGTCCTAAGTTACAATCCATTCCAACATCTGTCCCAACATTTTGACCCCCCTTCCATCAGAAATACCCATCAAAACATTGGATCGACATGCTCTAGATGTCTCCACCCTCAAATGCATCCACCCACCCATTCGACTAACGAAAACTTTTAACCCCAACATGTTCCCCACGAACCGTATTCATAGCAATGCTATCGCGATTCCTCTGGCTCTTAGATGTCACGACACGCGAACCACAAAGCGGAACAAACAACGTTGTGGACTGCCCCACGGTACGATCATGAAAGCAGATGAGGCTATGCCCTCAGTGGTAAAAGCGATGGTAACCTTGGATAAAGAAATAGGCTAAGTGACGCACTGGTATTTTGTGCGTGGGAAGAAGGATGAGAGGATTAACATGCGACTGTTGCAATAACGTCACTCCTTCTTTCCTGCCTTATATCGACGCACGATACGTATCCAGTTTCTTCCTTTGCAACAACATCTATCATACAACAAAACTACATCGCCTAACTTGAGGTTCTTCGATTGCGTTCCTATCGTTCCAGCGAAGTACTTCTTATTTTCTTACCAATAGCACCGCATATCGCATGTATCTCGCTCGCTACTAGTGTTCTCTTACTCAGCCACACGTGGGTTAGTATTCTTCACGCATTTTTAAAAAAAAGGACAAGAAAAAAAAAGATTATGCATCAATGGCTCATTGAGCACTGTGGTCTGGAAGGCACAGAAAACGAAATACATACAGTTACAGGTGCCACTGCCTACCACGATACACATGAGACATCGATTTGGCCTCAAAGATTACTAGTCCGAGTCGACAGCCACCATTCAACCCAAGATAGACGCGACTCGCTAGGCAGTAGCAACGAATCGCGCGAATCTGAGGAAGAAACAACACCAAGTAGCATCCCTGACGCATTGGAAACGGAAGAGGACTATGAATTAAACCCAAGCATCATCTCAAGCATCGAAGCACTCCTCGGAGACTCCGACTCCGACGAACCAAGCGATCTACCAACCCCTTCCTCAACCCCATCTTACCCCGTCTCGCCCATCGAACAGCAAACCGTGACACTCCACCAAGATCTCGTCGCCCTCTTCATCCACCACAGGATCGCCGCCGCCACAACATCCACCCCCGCCCCCTCCTCCCTCCTCGCGGCCGAAGAAATGGAAACACTAATGTCACACTACGAAACCAGTCTCGCCTCCCCACTCTACTCGGGCCTCTCAACCCGCATCCACCTCAGCATCCTCTACACCGCCTACACAATCTCCGACCGCACCTTCTTCCCGCGGTCCCCCTTCGCCACCTTAGCATTCAGCTATCTAAGCCCCAAGCGGTATCTGGCGCGTAGATTGCGGTGCCAGAGGGTGTCGAGCGAGATGCTGGTGGTGTTTCAAAATTTACAGACCCTGGTGAGGGAGTTGGAGGCTGTGATGTGGGGGAGGAGACGGTATTTGAGAAGGTTGGGGAGGTATCCGGAGGTTGTGGCTAAGACGATTTGGATGATGGATCCGACGGTGACGCATAGGTGGGTTGGGCCGTTGGTGTTGTAGGGGATGCGGGGGAGGGAGCACTTGAAATGGGGCAGTGTAATGAGAAAGAGTGCTGTAGGGTGAGGAGCATGGGTTATGCTGCGTTGGACATTGGAGAGCGAATTGGTATTGTTTTGCATTTGGAAGCTTTTTTGCTAGGGTTTAACTGGGTATCATGGTTGCTTTGGAGAATTTAAGTTTACGGGTATTAAGGACCCTCGGCAGTTCAGATCAGCTTGAATAACTTTCCGCCTACACCATCCCATTCATCGTCCCATCTGTGCTCGCTTTCTCTGAGAGCGCCTACTTTTAGTGTCTCTCTTAATCTGCCATCACTGCCAAAGAATGCAGCCAAATCCAGAGCAAGCTCCTCAGGGCTCTGGAACCCCAGGCCATTCACGCCCTGCTTAACTAGTTCGGGCCATGCCTCGAATTTTCCCCAGCCCACGACGGGCAATCCTGCGCCAAACATGTCGACGACTTTCATTGGAAGATCGACGCCAGAGGAGGATGTATGTAGCGAGATACCGAGATCAGCAGAGGCAAGAAGGAGAGCATAGTCGGCATGGGTAAGCCATGCCGTCTTGATGATGACGTTCTGGAGTTTCTTCTGCTGGTTCAGCTCGTTGATCTTGGAAAGATAGTATTCCTTCTGGGGTCCTTTGCCGGTGATGATGGCAAGGATCCTGGGCAGATATGTCTTTGAAGTGCATTCGGCAGAGTAGGCAACGAGAGCGGATAAGAGGAGAGAAAAATCTTCGTCGGCTGTCCAGGAGGTGGCGCTTACGATGAGTTTCCAGGGTGTCTTGGAGCTAGGTGACAGATCCTTTGCAAACTCAGCCGTTTCCGGAAGTCTCTTGAGGAATTTGGCGCGCTCTTCAGCCCTGATGGGCTGGAATATAGATGCCGGACGGTCATGCAGGGCTTGGGCAGTTACTCCATAGTCGACTTTGAGAACGCGGGCCATTGCGTCGGTCACGGTGATGTGGTGTGAAGCTGCCTTAGCAAACATCTTTTCGTACTTCTCCGATATTCTGACGAGGGGGTGAGAGCCACCAAGTTTCATGGCCAGAATGGAGTAGCCAAAGTTATGCCAATCGATGACCAGGTCAGTGCGTCGTAGGAAGCAAACCAGACTCGCAACTGCGAGTGTCGGTATTGAAGGGGGATTTTGTACAAGCGTCCATCTTGCGGGCTGGGAGCGGTAGCCTAGTGCAGTGTACAAGGAGAAAATCTGCCAGAGTACTTTGAGAGGAGCCAAGATGGGGAAGAGAAGCTTGCTGCTTGAACGCAGGCTAGCGGGTGCTGGGGAGAGGGGGATGATGTCAATCAATGGGTTTGAGACTATCTCTGGGAGTATCTCAGACTCTGTGAGGCGGTTAGTTGCTAGAAGTATGGGTACTTGCGGACATGATTCACCTTGGTAGCCGATAAGAGTGACTCTGGCGCCGTGTTTGGCGAAGCTCAGGGCATGGTATTGCATGCGGGGGGATCGTCCGATATCGCCCAGCACAACAACCTGAACGGACCGCGCATTCTTCCATTGTGGGAGCTCCTTTCCATCTCTTGTTGTTGCTTTGATCTCTATGCCGTGCTCGTCGACAAACTTTAGCGACTTGTCCTTGTAAGGATCATACTGGCCAGGTAGCGTGAGTAGCAAGACCGTGAAGAGCGTGGACAGGACGACGACGACAGTCAGTACGACGGAGAAGAGGGTAGCGTACTTGTCTGCTGCTGCTTCTAGCGTGTCGTCGAGCATGGTGATGATGAAGGGGGGTTAAGTTAGTGTTGGCCAATTGCGATGCACATGCTCATGCAGGAGAGATGGCGCCACATGCGTCAGTGGTGCCAAGGATTGGAGTGGCGGTGCCCGCAGTGTGCCTGCCGCTGCGGAGAGCTGGGGACCGGGGGGTGGACGGAACCAAAAAGGGAAGGCGGCTAAGGACGATAAGTGCTATTAGGAATATGGATATGTTATGTAAGAGACACCCCTGACAAGACATGTTGTAGAGAGAAAAGACGGCCCCCCAATATTCAGACGTCGTGGATATACCGAGTTGCGCTCCTCTCTACTCCCCGTACGCTGTTCCTCTGGCTAATCGCCCATCCGCGCTGCGACGCGACTGAGCCTCGTTTCACCACCGCCAGTTGGCGCCCCTCGTCTTGGTGGGCTGCTTGACTGCGAGCCACGATAAATCCTGTCCTCGCAGCACATGGCGTCGACATATGCCCTGCCCGTCACTCCGCGCTCCCATACGCACAGCCATGGACGCTCGTCGTCACAGTACACGCCCGAGTCTTCGTCGTATACGGCCAGCCCCATCAACGGCGTATCTCCCGTCAGAAAGCACGGCCACCGACACAACCGGTCCGAGGTGAACACCAATGGCCAACTATACGGCGCTGTGCGCTCCCAGTATGCTGAGTACAATGGCCACTCCCACGCCCACGACCATACCCATGAACACAAGCACGCCCATGCGAGATCGGCCTCGAACGACTCTACATACACCCTGAAGCCCTTCCTCAATCCCGCCATGGGCAGGTCCTCAAACAGGCCGCGAGGAGACTCTGACCTTGGGCGCCCTCAGTCAAAGACTCCCCTTGCCAGATATGACTTCTCGTCAGTGTCGCCCATACATGAGACGCCTCCCCATGCGCCGTTGCCTTCAACATCCTCGTAAGCATTGCTCCAACATGTCTTAGCATAGCTCGACTAAAACGCGTTACAGATCATGGCTGCAACTCCCTGAGGCACTTACTGCACTCCTGATTCCCCTCCCATACCTCCTCGCCGCCTTAGCATACCCAAACAATACTCAGTCCTCACTAAAACCGCCATCGTCGCTGTCAGAAGCCATGGCAGAAAGTGTACCTGCGATAGAATCCACCAAAACCTTACCCGGGGCGCCACTATTGCACGCCCTCACCCTTTCTTCGGCAACACTGCTGTTAGTAGGTGTGGCAGCTAAGGTCAGCTCCACGCTGCAGCAGTTGGATAGACGGAAGGAAGACAAAATCACTCCAAAGGTTACCAATGCACCTAAGCGCATTGCCAGCAACGCTGTTAGCGTACTCCTACCTTTCTACGCCTCCTTGCAGATTGGCGGCGCAAAAACCGCCATCATCTTGCTCATCGCAGTAGCAGCGGGGATTGGAGTGTTGGATCAAAAGCCAGGCAACCATACACTCTGGGACGATGCCCGGCGGACGCTGAGGACGCGCAAGATGACTTGCGGTGCGCTTTTTCTGGCTATGCTCGCAGATGTCATGACCTCTGAAAGCACCTCAAACCTTCTGGTCGGCTATACAGCCCTTTTGGGCTCGCTTTTCTGGGTTCCTCCACCTCTACCTACAGCGGCCTGGTCACTCATGACCAACCCACAGAACCAGGATTCATTTACGAGCCAACGGCCTCTTCGTGCGTCGCTGCCAAAGCCTTCGTCCCCACTAATCAATACCTCCGAAAACCAGCTTCTTACGCTTGCCGCTGGTCTTATTCTTCTCGCCATCACCATTGTATACTCATTTATTGTGCCTTCTGGAACTTTTTCTTTGTCTCAACATACTGTTGGCTTTTCGGCCCTCTCAATTGCATCAGCGACGGCGCTTGTCTACTTTTCTCTTCCAGCATCATTGCGGAGTCAGAATCAAGTCGGACTACGGTTGAGCGCTATTCTTGTTTTTGCTTTCAGCTTTTTGGAACATGGTGGCAATCTGAACATTGCGTTCCCTTTTGTGTCCGCAATACTTATTGCAGCTGCCGCTTTTGACACACGCTCTCCAGTACCACATTCCCACGACCATGCTCATGATCATGGCCACAAGCATGACCATCATCTCCACGGAAACCATTCGAGAATATCCGCATTTTTGATTGCCCGCTCTACCCCTGGATCCATTATACATAGTATTTTGATTGAAAGGGATTCGCGGCGCATTGCATACTTTGGCGTGTAAGTTTTATCCTCAAGATGATCAGTGACAGTATATAAATAAGCATTTTTCTGACACGATATAGACTGAACCTGGGCTTTATGATGGTTCAATTCTTCTACGGTTTTGTCAGCGGCTCATTGGGATTGCTCACGGATAGTATTCACATGCTCTTCGATTGTGCTGGTCTTGCCGTAGGTCTTGCTGCTGCAGTCATGAGCAAGTGGCGTCCAAACGCACGTTTCCCCTATGGCTATGGCAAGATTGATACTCTGTCTGGGTTTGCAAATGGCGTTTTTCTCTTGTAAGTGATTTTTAATCCCACAGCAACTCAAGCTAATTTGTACAGACTTGTCAGCGTAGAAATCATATTCGACGCCTTTGAGCGCCTCTGGGAAGGCCACGAACTTCAGCGTCTGAATGAACTGCTAATTGTTAGTATATTGGGATTCTTGGTTAACATAGTTGGTCTTACGGCTTTTGGACATGCTCACCATGGCCATGGCCATGATCATGGTCACGATCACGGTCAGGATCACGGACATGGACATTCGCACGACAACGAAAATATGCAAGGAATCTTCCTTCATATCCTCGCCGATGCTCTTGGCTCCGTAGCCGTCATCATCTCTACGCTTCTGACCAAGTACTACGGTTGGTCTGGATGGGATCCTATTGCATCGTGTATCATCGCCGTTTTGATCTTTCTCTCGGCCATCCCGCTTGTTAAATCCAGTGGAGCGAGACTTATGCTTAGTCTACCAAGTGACGTCGAGTATGGTATCAGAAACGCATTAGGAGAGCTGGGTACACTGAGAGGTGTGGTGGGCTATGCGGTGCCCAAGTTCTGGCTTGAAGATGAAGGAGCTGCGCATGGCGAGGCTCACGCAAAGGAACATGCTTGCGATGAACACAAGCACGAAGACGAACCCCATGACCACCATGAACACGACCATGCGAACTCGCATTCGCATGATCACAACCATGACCACCATGGCCACGACCACAGTCACGATCATGGCCACTCACATTCTCATTCGCACTCGCACGATCATCGTGACCACGACCACGATCATGATCACGCACCGAAACAACGGCGCATTCTTGGTGTAATCCACGTCATTGCCTCGCGTGTCGCAGATCTCGAAGATGTCCGGGAGCGCTCGTACCAGTTTCTCAAAGACCGCGGCATGGACGTCGTTATTCACGTTGAAAAGGAAGGCGAGAGCCGATGTTGGTGTGGTGGTGGTAACGACTACAAGCAGAGTTAGTGTATTACTTCTTTGTATGAATAATAGCTAGAGTGGAGTTGAAACGAGCATTCTTCTTCGTAAACGGGCAACACGGTATTTGATTCATGACTGGGTTTCTACCTTCATTTCCTCAAGTCCATTAAAACACGATCTAATCCTGGTATGATATCCTCTTCAAGCCGAAAGAAAAAAACACCACCATCTCACACTTCTACCCTTCTACCCCTCCGTCCTCACAACCCCCGTACTAGTCCTAACATCAAACTCGACCCACCGCGCCCTTCCCTCCGTCCGTCCTCTTCTCCCTCCACTCTCATCCAAACTCCCCGGATTCATAACCGTGCACCCGAAATACTTGACTACAAACGGCGGGGCCTCGGCATCCGCAAGCACCACGCTCGTAGGCAGCGGATACAAACTCATTGCATGCGCAAAGTCCCAATGCAGGGGGCGTGAAGCAAGCGGGTAAGGGCTAAGATGCGACTGGGAGAGAATAGTACGAGTAAGTGCGCGGGCAATTTGCGTGTCGAGATCGACATCTGGCTGTTGTTGCTGCTGTTGTTGGCGTTTTGGTTGTGGAGGTGGAGGATGCACCAGATCCAGATCCATGGAATCTTGATTCTCGAGATCGCGAGCTTGTTGGCTGGGTGCAAATGGCAATTCATCGTCCGCATCAGGCGGTGGCTTGTTGAAGCGGATTGAGTTTCGCTGAAGGCGACCTAGGAGGTCATCTCTTAAGATGGCCATTTCAGTCTTAACACCGAACCAAGTGAGACGCGAGGGATTCGAGGTCCAAATGACTTCTCCTTCTTTCCCTTTTGCTTTTCCTGGCCCCCAGATTTCGCGGTTGGCTTCGGCGACGACTTTGCGGATGCGGGTGGTGAACATGTTGGGGATGGGTTTGCGGGGGAGGGGGGTTGCGGCGCCGGCGGAGAAGGCGCTGGGCCAGGCGTCGTTGTCACCCGGGACGAAGACGAGCGTGGTGTGGGCGATGAGAGGTTGAAAGTCTGCGAGGACGGAGGCGAGGGCGTCGAAATGCTCTTTGTATTCTATGCTGCCGGTGCCGGGGACGCCTGCTAAACTGGCTTTGGAGCTGAAGTTTCCCATGAGGATGATGGCGAGAGGATAGACAGGGTGAACGTCGGTGGGATCAGGTGTATATGTGCGCAAGAGGGTACGGAGGGCTGATAATGTTGAGGGTACGTCCAGGTGGAGATCTGATGCTATGATAATGTTGTGTGCTCGTTCGGGTTCGAGTAGTTTGGATGCAATCTTGTTCATACGCGCACCAGTTCCACGCTGTGAACCGACGCCCAAGAAATCAGTCCAGCCGAATGCTGGGCCGGCAAGACTGTTCTTATCAACTTCCTCAGCGCCACCTAGCGTTGCTGTTCGTCGTTCACATGGAGGGTGTCCGATCGAAAAGGAGAGGAACTTTCCACCTATCGTGCCACCAATACCACCGCTGCCCCCTAGTGATGAGCCTGCTCCGGAGTCTTCTTCATAACTGCCTTCAACCAGTACAATCATACCTGGTGCAAAGTATGCGCCCTTCTCAGGTATCGGTCGCGCATGCTCAATGTCAAGCGCAATTGTTCCCGTAAGGTCAGAGAGTGAGAGCGCTCCGGTTGCTGAGACAGTGAGCATACCCAGTAACAGATGCGTGCTTCCGGTTCGCCCCAGCAGGTTGGCAATTGGTGTGATTGTGTTCATTTGCGAGGTTGCAATTGACCCTGTCCGACTCAGAGTAGCCGACCTAGCTGTGCTGAAAGTGGGTGCTTGAAACGTCTCATTGCGGAGTATGCGCTGATGTACAATGTGATACCGCTGACGGAAGAGCTCAGTCTTATGTGAAGGATCTGGGAAGAGCGATGGTTTGGCAGTAGATCTAGTATTGTTAGCAGAGGTTGTGAATAGTCTTAATATGTACTCACTTATCAAAATGTTTTTGGTTGACATTGTAGACCAGCTTGGGCTGCTCGAAAGCGCCAATAACCTTCATCCACTCTCGCGGGTCTTTTAGCAAATCCTCTTCATCCTCCTTGTCTTCCACCTCTAGGCTCGATATGCCGAAACTTGAAGTGGTGTCTAGGGATCCATATGATGTCTGGCCGGATATATCTGGGCCGAAGTTGAAGCTGCTTTGGCGTCCTACTGTCGAACCCTGGACTATTCTGCCACCGCTCATGGACCCTTCTAGTGTCTTTAGTATGCTCTTGAACGTCTCATTATCTCCTTCCACAATGACCTGCCCACCGCACTTCTTCCAGCTCTTTGCAGCTTCCTCGAGAACCTTCTCTGCTAAGCCTTCCTCTCGCCATCCTGAACCGCAGTGCTTTCCAATAAATGTGGCTAAGGCCTGGAGGGCGGAAGATGTGAGTGTAAGATTGTGTTTCTTGGTGAAGGTACGGAATGCTAGCGGCCGTAGTGTTGCCGGAGGCAGTAATATTGGAAGAACAGTCGACTTTGCAACTGGCTTGAGAGAGGGCGGGGCGCGTATTGGGGCTGTCCTGCGGGGATTGATTGGGTGTACTGGTGTTCCAAATGCGGGCGAGGATGAGGGTATGGCGTCCGACACTGCTGAGGGCTTCTCTGGGCGTCTCGCTGAGGCCATTTCTGTTATAGTGGCTGCAAAGGTAAAGGCGTGTTGTATAGGCACAAGCGTCGTCGGTCTGGAATTCCACTTTACGCGCGACGCGGTCGCGCTTTCGCGCTAAAAGCAGCCCGCTTTTCCTAGCAACCACCAACATTCCCACCCAAACACAACACCCTACATCTTCACCTTCAGTATTGAAACTGCGCAGTATCAATTCTGCAGTCGCATACCCCACAAGAACCCCACATACTCACGAAAACTCACACAAAATGGCCGAACCTACCACTGAACCACTTGCGACTGTCGCTGAGACTGACGAAATCCCCAAGACCAAAGAGAAGCTATCAGAGCTGTCGCAAGTCGCCTCTATCCACTACTCTACCAAGAACTTTCCCGCCGCTGCAGAGAACTATGCCAATGCTGTCGAGATTCAAGCCGAGCTCAATGGCGAGATGGCGCCCGAGAACGCCGAATTGCTTTTCTACTACGGGCGCGCATTATACAAAATTGCAGTTGCCAAAAGCGACGTGCTAGGCAACAAAGTTGCACAAGAGGAGAAGAAGAACAAGCAGCCGAAACCGAAGAAGGCTGCAAAGACAGAGACAGCTGAAGGCTTGAGTGCTGCAAAGAGCGAACCCAAGACAGAATCGGTAGAGAACAAGCCATATTTCCAGCTTCAGGGTGACGAAAACTGGACCGATTCCGAAGATGAAGATGAAGAGACACAGGACGGCGAGCAAGAGGAGGAGGACGACGACTTTGGTAACGCATACGAGATCTTCGAGCTAGCTCGCGTCCTGTACGAAAAACAACTACAGGCACTCAAGGAAGGTGAATCTGAAGACAAGGGCAAAGGAAAGGCAGAGTTGAGTCCTCGTGAGCGCATCATCAAGGAGCGGATTGCCGACTGTCACGGCTTCCTTGTCGAGATCTCACTAGAAAACGAGCGCTTCCATGATGCTGTAGCAGACGCTCGCAAATCGCTTGCACTGCAAGAGGAACTGTATCCTTTTGAACACGAAAACGTCACAGAAGCACACTACTCGCTTTCACTGGCGCTCGAGTTTGCATCTGTATCCAAGGTCCGCGAAGACCAGACTGGACAATCAACAGATGCGCCTCCAGAGGCGGAGCAAGGAAAGGAAGACGAAGACGGCGTCAACTGGGAGTTACGGAAGGAAGCTGCTGAACAGACCGACCTCGCCATCCAGAGTCTGGAGGCGAGACTTAAAAAGGAAGAAGCTGCGCTCGACTCGGACGCACTGAAGCCAGAGCAAAAGAAGGAAAAGCAAGTCATCATCAATGAAAAAAAGGGCATGTTAGAGGACCTCAAGACACGCCTTGTAGATCTCAAGTCGGACCCCACAAAGCAACAATTCGACAGCATTGACTCGTCAGTCTTCCAGGGCTTGCTAGGTGGAATGATGGGTGCGGATGCTGCAACCCAAAAAGCAAAGCTCGCCGAAGCGGCCAAGAACGCAAACGATGTCTCGGGCATGGTAAAGAAAAAGGCCAAGCCAGCCGCACCAGCGGCAACGTCCGGATCAAAAGATGCAGGTAGCAGTAAAAGGAAACTCGAGGTTGATGATAGTGGCGCGGACGAAAAGAGGGCAAAGACTGAGGAGCCATGATCAACATGTACTTTTTCCACAGGGTGGTTCGTTGTTATCTGCCAACAAGGCGTATTGGATTGTACAGAAATGTTTAGCGTCATGAAGAGAAAACGTCAGCTTCTGGGTCCGCTATCTAGTACAAAGCCCTGGGCAAACACGTCAATCCATGCAGAATAAGAATCAAATGCACGTCAATAAGTCCCCGTTACCCTTCCAACTCGGCATTAATGCATGTAGGTGTACGTACCTACACGACATCATAGTCTTGCTTGGCATAGTAGACTATCGACCGTTGAAACCAAAAACAAGCTACTAGTAAGGGGCCCGTTAACTCAACTTCCAACCGACCTTACAGCTTACTATCGGAACTTGCAACCTTGCCCTTGAATCCCGTGAGGACCGCACCACCATCAATCTCGATAGCATTGCCCGTCATATGCGCACTTCCCGCGCTGCTCAAGAATAGCACCAAACCAGCAAAATCACTAGGTTTGCCCACCCTGCCCGTTGGCTGTGTCGCCGTTAGGGAATCCGCATATTTCTCTAGTCCAAAGCTCGTCATCCGCGAGGGAAAAACACCGGGACAAATAGCATTGCACATAATATTCTTTGGCGCGAGTTTCGAAGCCTGCATCTTAGTAAGGTGGATGCACGCCGCCTTTGCTGGACCATCTAGATCGCACACCATTCGTCAGCAAAATTTTCCATGAGTACGTACGGGGGGGGGGAAACTGTGATATCCACAATTTTTTGCAAACCTGAATCGGAGTAAGGGGAAAAAAAAGAGAACTTACATGAAAAAGTGCCAGTGCCAGGTTTACTCAGCCCGCCAGTCTCGTCCGTTGTGACATCCATGGTGCCTATCCCTGCCATGCTTGAAATGTTAATTACTCTGCCGGGCGTATCCGCGTTGGCTCCTTTGAGCAGCAACGGCTCGAGCCCCACCGTCATATAAAAGATACTCTTGACATTAAGCGCGTACAGCTTGTCCCATGCGTGCTCGGGGTAATTGTAATAGTCGTCGCCCCAGCTGGCGCCCGAGTTGTTGACGAGCACCGTCAGGCGGTCTGTCCGCTTCTTCATTTCCTCACAGAGGGCCAGGCATCCGGCCTTGTCTTTGAGGTCAGCGACTATGTATTCGCATTTGCCGGGGCCGAGGGCATTGAGGCGCGCAGTCGTCGACGAGAGCTCGCTTTCTTTGCGAGAGGCGATGAAGACGCGTGCGCCGTTTTGCACAAAGGCCTGCGCGGCCATTTCGCCGAGGCCAGTCGCACCGCCTGTCACGAGTACGACATGCGAACTGAAGTTGAAGAGGGTGCTGACTCGAAGGTCGTCTTTAGAGGCGGCGTGGGCCATGTTTTATTGGGCACGAGTTGCGATGCAGCTTGGGGGTGTACAGGAAGGGCTGGTCAGTCTTCGCGTGGAGGTGAAAGATAAACCCAGCAGCGAGACTGCAGGAACGCTGTCACTGTCCAAGAGCCTAGGTTGAGATAGGAAGGCGAAGGGACTGAGCTCGCCATGATTCTCGGTACTATTGGTATAGCAATTGCAGATTGCTGGGGTTGAGCCGAGGTTCTCGTATAAGTTCTGCTGTGGGGTTTAAGCGCCGAATCCTTCGAGCTTAGCTGCAACTTCATATCTCCGCCTTGAACACGTAAGCAAGGTTGTAAGGATTGGTCCAGATGTTGAAAAAATTGTCATCATGCACAACTCGAGTATGAACGCTGGATGGAGTATGCAAGTAGGACGAGATCGTCTCGAGGTGCTCATGAGACTACTATCTGTCTGGCTCTAGTGGACCATATGCGCCAGTAGCATGGACTTTTCCCTTTTGGAGGATTTCAAATCCAATGCCGGTAGACGGCGACTCTTTTATGCACACTTCAAAGACACCAGGGACTACCATTGGTTTCTTGAAGTCTACTCGCATCTGCAGGGGGGTATTGTTCGGCAATGCCGTGTTTTCAGCGTCAAGCAAGCTCTGCAATGCTTTTGCAGCTGCATGGTTTCCATGTGCAAGTTTTCCGGGCAAACCGAACAGCTTTGCAGCGAGTCCTGACAGATGTATGAAGTTGTAGTCCTTGCATAACGCTGCCCATTTCAATGGATCGTCTTTGGATAATGAGATTTGCGTATTAGTGCGTGTAGATCCTGGTGTTGACGTATCATGTTTGCTTTCATCCAAGCTCTTTGATATGACGCTGCCTGGCATCTTTTTGAATTCCAGCATAATGAAAACTTGGCGGAAAATAGTCTGGTACGTCCCATTGTTCCTCTTGCTGGGGGCACTGATCGTTATTTCGAGAGCCCACTCGATTCCACGCTTTACTCTTGTTGGTTCTGGGTGCATTACTGCATCCACGTGCATCGAATCCATCTTCGTAAGCTTCTCTAGGTCACATAATTCCGGACGAATTAGCTCGAATGTGTTACGGACGTTAACAGCACCCAGGGGATTGATAGGACACCACGGGCTAGCGAGTAGTAGAAGCATGCCCGGCTCAGTCATGGCCGAGAGAAATAGGGCTAGCTGACCATGTTTCAAGTGCGAAGGGTTGGTACCCTCTCTGTGTCCAACTGCCGAATGAAAGCGAACAACGTCTTCGGCACTTATGACGAGAGGCGAGCGGAGGTGCAATCCCACAGGCGTTGGGCCTGATGTTTTGACAACTGAATAAAACATGGATTTGAGCATCATTGCAAGGATTGCTATCACTACTTCTCGGATCCGCAGCGAGTTTGGAGAAAATGCCAAGATACTTCTTTTGGATAGTAAGGGTAGCAGACGGTAGCCGAGTAAGCCGAGTATTCCCAAGGCCATGACGGGGGCGGATAAGAATAGCACAACGGCCATGGTTGGATGCGGTGACGAATCGGGTAGCCTGGGATGTAAGTAGACGTCTCTGCTGCCCTTGGAGTAGTTTTTTTTGGAGAGAAAGTAGCGAAGCGAACGCGTGACGTCACTCTTAGCGTCGAGATCTGGCGGGAGGCTTCTCCGTGGAACGACGGGAGGCGGCTAAAATGTGGAGCGGGAAGGCCGATTGAGATGTGATAGACTCGGCATCACGATCACCCCACTAATGATCGCTTTCGCGTTCGCCTCTGATAGTCCCATCGCCGCCAAGAACACAACCTCCGCCAAGAGGTATCATCTTTTCCTCCGGCTTATGTTCAGTCTCACCCCAGAAACATGCCATAAAACTGCTGATCCGGGGAATTCGACAACTTAAACTTATCTCAATAGGCCGGGGTGTTTCGAATTGAACAGCGCGTAATCACCACACAAGCTACTGTTGGTCCGTCCTAGATGGCAAATTGATCCGCCCAAACGGCCCGTTAGGGACATTTGGCGTTGGATAGATGTCTACCTACTAGTACGCATGGCCCGCAATGGCCTACTCTACTTACATGGGACCAAGAGGAGATTTTCAACTAAATTCAGCCGAGCCCGAACCAGTTATACGGGGGCTATACTGTAGGGCTTCAGGGGTCCAGCTGAACATTACCTTGATGGGTATTTGACATTGCCATTGTGGCTTGAATCGTCAAATCAAAACCTGTTTCGAACCTTGAGCCTGCAAACCCATGTTTACAAAGCGTCCAGTGCGAGTCAAGACGAGAATGATGGTTGGACTCTGGTCAGTGGACGCGCTGGTTGCTTTGTCGATTCTCTTCTCACTCGCAGAAGCAATCCACTGCTTCACAACAAGGTTTGCATATACACGTACACAGTCTATACGATACGCAATACGATACGCAATATCCATCTTATTCCCATCTTGCGGTTGCCGACATCATTTCCGTAAGGTAAGCACTTACGGGTCCTCTCCTGCAGCCCTAACGCCGATCCATGTATGACGCTGCACTCACCAAAAATATACGCTCTGCCATAGGTTCGTCTTGGAAATTCTAGGAAAAACTCCAGACATTTGATCCGTCACATCCATGCGAGGGCAAATCTGTCGCTATACGGGAAAGTTAGTCGCATCTTAGAGGCTGTGCAGCCATTGGGCCGAGGAGACTCTTGGAATGCGGTTAGTGTCCCCGACCCCTCATGGGTTAGAAGCACGCCCCTTAGGTTTGTGCATGCGGAACAGCTTGGAAGCGGCCGTTGACCCCGTGATCAGCAAGTGGAAGACACAGCTAGCCACGAAACGCGTCCTAGCTTATAGTAATCTCTTCCGTTGACTTCCTGAGCTCAGTTGTCCCGGTCTTATGTGGTATATTCTCCCCTAATTCGACTATTTCGGAACCTACATCTGGATTCATCCTTCTCGGCCATTCCCACGACTTGCCCTGACACACGCGTGGGAGCAGTCCCGCTCCAACCGTGAGAAATGCCCAAAAGATCGACTGGTTGTTTCGAATGCAGAAAAAGAAAAGTCCGCTGCGATGAATCCAAGCCTGAATGCAACACTTGCTTGAAGCGCGGGACAAAATGCCCGGGCTACCGGCCGACGCAGGCCTTCATCCTCCACGAATTCGACACCAAAAGAGACAAGCCCGCACTGATCAAGGAGGATGAGAACCGCTACAAGTTCGCCATTCAGACTTACTCTCACTCAAAACAGCAGGGAAAGTCGCAGAGCAGCACTGGAATCCGGATAGAAAGTGTGCAGTATGAGCCCGATATCCCCAAGCAAGTAAGTGTTGTTGCTTCGGAACGCATTCAACATGTCAGCACCTTCGTCGCGCTGTATCTTCCGAAAACTGAAGGCCAGGCATTGCCAGGCCCATCTGCACTGATGCTTGGCCTACCCAACCTGCCCGCCAACAGTCCTGTTCTTGAGGCTGCCATTGATGCGCTAGCTGCAGCTCAGCTGGCAGTAGACAAAATGAACTCCCCTCTTATTCATCGCTCCAGGTCACTCTACAGCACAGCACTGAGTCAGATGCTGCACGCTATTCAGGACCCAGAGACAGCTCTCAAAGATGAGACGCTTCTGTCTACATATTTGCTCTCGCTGTATGAGGTAATAGTTCAATATTCTCCTATACAGAGCACATTGTTGACATTT